AAATGATACGAGTAGGCGGTCGTCTTCTCCTTTCAGATGTTCCTTATGATCAGAAATTTCCTCTACTGTTACCCTCAAAATCACATATTGTCAATTTATTACTTACCCGAGAACATCGAAGACTTCTACATTCAGGCCCTCAAAATACACTGTCTAATGTTAGATTGAAATTCTGGCCTCTTGATGGTCTTCGACAAATCAAACGTATAATACAAAATTGTCTCACTTGTTACCGTTTTAAACGCACAAGTCGCGTCTCAAATCATGGCTAATCTCCCGAGGGAAAGAGTTCAAATTGCACGTCCATTTATAAATGTTGGAGTTGATTTTGGTGGTCCGTTTCCCATCAAGACCTCTAAACTCAAGAGAGCTCCCCTTACTAAGGCCTATATGGCAGTGTTTGTATGTTTAGCTACTCGCGCCGTGCATGTGGAATTAATTTCCAGTCTTTCTACTGAAGCGTTCTTATTGACTCTGAAAAGGTTTATCGCCCGAAGGGGTAATCCGAATATCATTTTCAGCGATAATGGCACAAACTTTCTAGGTGCGAAAAACCAATTGAAAGAACTTTATGAGTTGCTTCTTAAAGGTGATACCTCTGAATCTATTCGCTCTTTCGCTACTTCGTGTCAAATTCAATGGAAGTTTATCCCTCCACGCTCACCACACCACGGTGGTATTTGGGAAGCTGCCATAAAGAGCTTCAAATACCATCTCGTAAGAATAATGGGTAACTCCAATTTTACTTTCGAAGAACTATCCACTGTACTTTCGCAGATCGAGGCAGTGCTCAATTCACGCCCTATCTGTGCGCTCTCAGATGACCCTTCCGATTTTTCCTTTCTTACTCCCGGACACTTCCTTATTGGATCTAATTTAATGTCTTATCCTGAATCAGATCTTTCTGATATTCAAGAAAATAAATTGTCTTTGTGGAATAAATGCACAAGAATTCAGCAGCATATGTGGAAGGTTTGGACCCGCGATTATCTTAATAGGCTGCAAAATAGACCTAAATGGTTCACTCCTCAGGTAGGCATAAAGCCTGGTGATCTCGTCTTGCTTAAGGACGAAAACTCGCCTCCTCTCAAATGGCCTATAGCACGGGTAGTTGAGACATATCCGGGAAAGGACAACAAGGTAAGAGTTGTTAAGGTCAGAACTCCTGAAGGCTTATATGTTCGCTCTATTGCTAAACTGTGTCCTCTTCCTATGACTCACCTTCAAGAATATTAATAGTTTGTTAGTTTTAGTTATACCTTTCTTCAAATTGTACATAAACATTTTTTTTTTTTTCTTTTTGATGCGTTCACATCAAGGGGGGGACTATGTTGCATATCGCAACCTAAAAAATTCATAGGTCGAATTGCCGATAATGCAAGACAGATGCTGTTTCTATTTGCTGCACATAATTGCGAGAAATTCCCTTCTTAACCTTTATGACGTCGACAACAGTCATTCTATAATTTCTGACATTACTCTAATATTTGTCAATTTTAATAACTCTCAAATATTTGTCACTTTTAAAATAAATCGTTCATTTTCTCCACAAAAGATTTTGTGTTATATAAAAAAAAATATAGTTTTAATTATTAAGTGTAATTTAAAGTAATTACGAGAGTGTGATCGCCAAAATATAAGGTAACCAATTTTATTTTATTATAACTACATAGAACCAAAATCGAAGGTACTGCTTCAATAAGCAGTTAGCAACATATTCAGGGGGAGAAATAAAATCCCCCTATGTTCTCCACCTGTATCTTACATTTACTTACATATGGAGACCATAAAACCAATGAAGAAATTCGTAATAGAACAAATGTTAAAAATGCTGTCGAACATACAGCCAAACCGAAATGGAAATGGGCTGGACATAACGAACGCCATAAGGATGACCGATAGAACAAAGAAATCGGGAAATGGCGGCCATACGAAGCCAAAAGACTACGAGGAAGACCGCAAATGCGCTGGAGCGACGGTAATAAAAGAACTGCAGGACCAATATGGAAACGTCTTACAAATATCAGAGATGAATAACGAGAATTAGGAGAGGCCTATATTCGGCCGTATAGAGAGAAGGGCTTAAAAAATAGAAGGTTTTTGATAAGAAGAATGTTATCATCTATATAATTTTATTTATCAACAGCTGAACTGGAGCCGTTGATAAATAAAAGGCTGATAAAAGGATGAACGCCTTAATTTCGAATGTGGCAGCATAAAGAGACAGTTTAAACAAAACAATTAAAAAGAGTTTTATTAGGTGTGGTTTTTTAAAAACAGTATTAATGGAGAAGAAATTATGGAAAATCTGGAGTTACAAGACCCACAAGATGATTTTCCATTGTCAATCTTTTGCTACAGTCATGGAGTCGAAAATTTGTTGAACCACGTTAAAAGTATCCGTAACATTTCTCAATATGCATACTAATTCAATCCAAATATTCTTGATATCAAATAAGCTCTAAGTGAACAAATATTCGAAAGCATAACGCTTTTTGCGCACTCTGTTATAAATATTTATACAGTTTATTATTATTATCAAACTTTTTATTTACTTAATTTGTCTAGTAAGGACCATGAATAAATCTTCATTTAAGTGAATTTTTATGTATTGTATTTTTTTTTCACACGCAAATTCAGACATCCGTAATCATATTAATTAAGTACTATACTATTCTATTAGTCTAGTCATCAGGGATGAACATAACAATGAACCTCTAAAAATCATGAAAACAAGCTAGATTTTGCGGAGAATGTCAATTTTTGGACACCATAAACGAAGCAAAAAAGTTTGCCACTCTTACCATCGATCTTATGTCATTATAGTTCTGGTTATAGTAGATCTTGACAGAGCCCATTTATGAGCCCTTCAGACACTTAGAGCTCTTAAAACGGGTCATTGTATCACTTCTATCATATGGAATAGGTCCATATGAACCTAGTCGTTAGCGTTTCTGGGGACCATGCTGCTCCAGGCTCCCATATCTGCTGTAATCGAAAGCTTTAAGTCTGAGTGCTTCCTGCCGATTTGAACATTTAATCCATTAGAATCCTTGTGGCCTCATAAATAGCCACATAACACTTTAAGGATAACTACCTTATTTGGCTCGGTTGCATAAAAACGGAAACCTAAAATCTGCCAGCCCTTATAGGCCAGTGCCGGGCACTTTCAAAGGACATGTGAGGAGGTTTCGTCCTCCTCATTACAAATACGGCACCGTGAGCCACACGCTAATCCAAACAGATGAAGGTGTCGCCTGAGTCTACAATGTCCGGTAAGCATATTGACTACCAGAGCGCATCTTCTACGACCTAACAGGCGATGTTGAGCAGTAAGACTTTTGGAAAGCCCCACTATGTGGAGCTAGCTTATTTTATAACTCCATCACTGACAGGAGTTGTGGAACCTCTGCAGAAGAAGATATTTTAGACTACTAGAAAGCTAGAAGTTTTTTACCAGCAAAGTTGATAATCTGTGTCTTGCAAGAGCGTCAGCTCGTTCGTTCCTTTTTACGCCTTTGTGTCCGGGTATCAGCAAGTACTCTTGTGTACTTAAGAACCAGCTTAGGACTTGGGTGCTTCCAAAGCATTTAGCGCTGCTTGACTGGCAGAGCAGATAAAGATGCCAGGATCGCAAAGATTTCGTCCTAAAAGACTGATGAAAGAGCCTGAGCAGATTCAAATCTTATTCCACTCGCATTCTGGATCCGTAAACCAGGTAAATCCACTTCGATGGATCAATGCAGGCTTCGTTTCATCCACGTATCCCGGTCAACAAATTAAACCAAGAAGGAGAATGAGAACTCAAATGATTGGGGGGCCATGCTGTCCTGTACCATAGAGAGCACCACCCGACCATTCATTACCAACCAGTATCTAAAGCAGTTGAGACGATGGGCTGCCATAGAGAAGGTAGATCCAGCAAAGCCTCAGGAGCCGATGTAAGAGCGGTCCTCATGGATCCTGAGATGCAAACACATGCCAACCGCTAAAGATAAGTAAACTAGGCCTTAGCTGAAGCCAGTCTAGCCTGGAGCCCCGCATATGGCAGTATGGACTTATCACAGATTGATACGTCTAATATAACATTTTCAGCTGCAGACCCTATTTGGCTTCAAAGCTCTTCTGCGCATTCAAAAAACTGCCACGGCCTTCATCTTGGCGTCGAGATAAAGTTCCATGAAAGTTTAGAATTCTGGGTTACTCCTACGTACTTCACTAACTTGAAAACCGATAAAGTTTTACCATAGATGGTCGTAATGATGGGCTCATATGTTCGTATAAGGCTTGCGAAACCACATATCGTTATGGATTTTTAAACAATCTGCCAGTTTGTAGTTATTGTATATGAAACCACATATGGGTTTACAAACTTTTTCTAAAAACGTTTAGACTTTCGTCTAAAAACTTTTATACACAAGACTAAACAGTTATTTTAAATAACTAATGCCTTTTATATGCGTTAATCAAAATTACAATACATAAAAATTATTTTTTATTTCCTGTTTGCAATAATTCATGCAGTATAGTGTTAAAGTGAAAATGGGCTGGACCCAACTAAGGTGTCGAAGATGGAAGATGGAACAAAAAATTTGGAAATTGGCGATCGTTCTAAGCGAAAAAAGCAAGGGAAGACCTCAAATGCGATGAATGAGGGCGTAGGAGTGGTTAGCTTTTTTGCAAATTTTTTTAGGGTCCCAAAAGTAACATTCTCAACCAAATTCAGCTTGTTTGTCTCGTTTTTGAAGATCAAACCCCTGACGACTGGACTATATTTATGACAGGGATTTACAAATATCGTGGTACCTTTTTGCGAACAATTAAAAGTTTTTTCTTTAACGTCACACAATTATTTAACATATATTCTTATAATTTAAAATATTCAGCATGTGTACAAAAAAAAAGATCAAATTAATACATATATAAACACATGTAAACAGTATTTCTTATTTATCAGTTACTTATCCTCTTGAAACCAAATACAATTATAATTCAAAACAATGTTCAAGTTTGTTTTATTTGTATTATGTGCATTACATGCTGTAAATAGTAAAGTAAGTGTATAAATTTAACATTAGGAGAATTCTTGATTTTTTAGCGGTTCTTAGGGATTTATTTGGTTTAGGAATTCTTCTTCTTCTTCTTCTTCTTCTTCTTCTTAGCCTTTTGTCGTCCATGTTTGGACATAGGCATCTCCTAACTCCTTCCATCGGTCTCTATCCAGAGCAACATATTTCCAATTTGTTCCGGCTATTCTTTTAATGTCATCAACCCATCTCATCTGTGGTCTTCCTCTTGGTCGTTTACTTTCGTAAGGTCTCCAATGTTGTATTGTAGTATTCCAACGTTGGTCTTTCTGTCTAGCAGTGTGGTCCGCAAAGCTCCATTTAAGTTTGGCAATTTTTGTTGTTATGTCCTCGACTTTTGTTTTGGATCTTACCCAGTCGTTCCTCTTTTTATCTGACAGTAGTATACCTAACATTGCTCTTTCCATTGTTCTTTTTGTTGTTGTGATTTCCACAGATTGGGATTCCCACGTTATTTAATGGAAAAAAGTCTTGGTTTTTAAATTTAAATTTAAATTCACTATATATACTTCTGAATCGTCTAGTTGTTCTTCGATGTTTTTTACTCTATTGTTAAATTCTTTTTTAATGTTATGTTTTATATTTATATCGTCAAAATTAAGTAAGTGCATACTTCTTCTTCTTCGGGTTCCTTCTCCTAGCGGAGGTTGGAAATCATCATCGCTATTTTAACCTTGTTGGCCGCATTTCTGAATAATTCTAATGAGCTGCAGCCGAAGCACTCTCTCAAATTTCTTAGCCAGGACATTTTGCGTCGTCCTGGGTTTCTCTTCCCTTGTATCTTCCCTTGCATAATCAACCTCAGTAATACGTACTTCTCACCCCTTATTAAATGTCCCAGATATTGAATCTTTCTAATTTTAACAGTTTTTATGACTTCACATTCTTTCTTCATTCTTTGTAACACCTCTATATTAGTTACTTTTTCAATCCACGATATTTTATGCATTCTCCTGTAGCACCACATCTCAAAGGAGTTTAATTTTTTGATTTCAGACTGCTTTATTGTCCACGCTTCCATGCCATATAGTAAAGTAGAGAAGACGTAACAACGTAGCATTCTTGTGCGAATCTCTAGATTAAGGTTACGGTTGCAAAGTAATTTCTTCAATTTTATGAACGTGTTTCTTGCCATTTCTATTCTAGATCTGATCTCCTTTACTTGATCTCCATCTTCGGTTAGCCACGTTCCTAAATATTTATATGTTTTTACTCTTTCTATCGTTGTATTATTGATGATCAGGTTATTTACATTTTGTGGTTTTTTTGAGAATATCATTGATTTCGTTTTCTTGAGATTCATTTGCAGTCCGTAACTTTCACATGCATTGTATACATGTTGTATTATGTACTGTAGATCTTCCATGTCACTTGCAAATATGACAGTATCGTCGGCATATCTAATATTATTAATGCTATTTCCGTTGACATAAATACCTTCCACGATATCCAATAAAGCCTCTTGAAAAATCACTTCACTGTAGACGTTGAATAAGAGTGGTGAAAGGATACACCCTTGTCGAACTCCTCTAAGTATACTTACTTCCTCTGTCAGTTCTCCTTCGACTCTTACTCTTGCTTTCTGGTTTTGATACAGATTCGATATAATTTGTAGATCTCTACTATCAATGTTTTTAGTCTTAAGAATACTTAAAAGCTTCTCATGTTGAACTCTATCAAAAGCTTTCTTGAAATCTATAAAGCAAGCATATATGTCCTGATTCATATCCAGGCATCGTTGTGTCAGAACATGGACTCCAAATAATGCTTCTCTAGTTCCTAGACCCTTTCTGAAACCCATCTGTGAATCACTTATTTCTTGTTCTAATTTCATGTGGATTCTGTTATGTATGATTTTAAGGAAGGTTTTCAATGTGTGGCTCATTAACGCAATTGTTCGATAGTCATTGCAATCTTTAGCATTTGTGATTTTTGGAATCGTCACAAAAGTTGAGAGAAGCCACTCTTTGGGTATGTGTCCCGTCTTGTATATGGAGTTAAAAAGGTCTACCAAGACATCAATATTATCTTCATTAATTATCTTCAATAGTTCAATTGGTATTTCATCGGGTCCTGGAGCTTTTCTGCCTTTTGTGTGTTTTATAGCATACATAACTTCCTCTTTCATTATTTCTGGTCCCGTGGTTTCTCCGTTAACTTCTAATAATTGTTCTACTTTTTGATCATAAAATAGTTGTTCAATGTATTCTTTCCATCTACGTAGTTTGTCTTGCGTTTCAGTTATAGTGGTACCATCTGCATTTTTTAATATCCCGATTGGTTTGTTACGATTTCCTGAAATCATTTCTTTAACCTTCTTATGGGTGTTGAAAGTGTCATACCTTGCCTCACATTCCTCGATTTCTTGACATTTAATGGACATCCATGTTTCCTTAGCTTGTATTATTTTCTGTTTTATTTGTTTATTAATTTCCTGATATTTAATTTTATCTTTGTTTTTATGTGTTCTTCTTTCGTCTATCTTTTCGAGAATTTCTTGTGTCATCCATTCTTGTTTGGCAACTTTTGTAAATGTTAAAGTTTTCCGTCCCACAGTCTCGATTGCGTTCTTTATATTCTTCCACTTTGTGTCAATATCTGTAGTGTTCTTATTTTGTTGTTTTATTTCTTGGATACTCTGATTTATTTTGTTTTGAGTTTTTTGGTATGTATTTGGTTCTCTTAACTTATCAATGCATATTTGTGGTCTAGATCTTTTCATTAATGGTTTTCTCAATCTTACATTTATATTTGCTACTACTGGGTTGTGGTCCGAGTTTACATCTGTTCCAGGGTAAGTCTTCACTACTGTAATAGAGTTCTTGTACCTGTTCCTTATCAAGTGCATACACAGTTATTTAAATTACACACTCATAATCATATTTGGTTAGATTTTTTCATAACTTACGTAGCAATGTAATTTGGATTTTTTGATACATATTTGGTAGAATTGTCATTATATTTAAGCTTCTTTGTTGTAGTTTAATATTTCTCAATAGTGGTGTAAAAATAGGAAAATAACATAAGAAACAATGTATAATTTCGATTCTGAGTAAATTTTCTTCAGCCTAAACGTTTCTTAGTTTGAAATAATTTACTGAGTACCATTATAATTGTGTGCTTTAATTTACATGATTTACATAATTATTTTCTCGACATATAGGTACTTCGCCATCACATTTATTAGGTAACCAGGTCATTATCTCTCCTCCATTTCCTTCTTACCTCGTTCCACTGCCTAACATCGAACAAAAACAGGTCCGCCCAGCGATGTTAATCCACACTGTTGGCAATGCTTCGAGTACACTCACGATTGCATCAATCGTGGTTTTTCCTTTATAAAAACCAAATTGCCTCCGAGATAAATTACCTGACCTCTCAATCATGTCGTCTATGCGTACTTGCATTCTCCTTTCATACAGCTTACCGATGCATAAAAAAGACAGATCGGGCGATATTTTTCACCAACCTTGGGGAGCAGTACTAACATCGATGTCCTCCAAGGCCAAGGAAAAGTTCCAACAGTGCATTCATATATTCCAGAATCGACGCAGGCTTAGGCTGTCCTATTCACCGCTTCAGGTGATATCTAATCTATTCCGGAGGACCTGCGCATTTTAGTGAACACAATGCCTTAAGTTGTATCTCTGAGCCCAGATGTACCCATTTAGCTTTTTACAGTGTTCTTTCTAGTGCCTTCTTTTGTATGTATGGATTTTCTTGTAAAGTTTACTCTTCCTTGCGTGGTACTCTTCCTCGATCTCTTCGATGACCTCAGGGTTGATCTCTGCTCTGCCCCTTGCTTTCTTTATCTAACTTTTATCGGTTCTTTAATAACTCTCCAGGTTTTTCACTGTTGCTGATTGATTTTGCATCATTCTCACGGACCGCGTTAGTGGTCCTCGTTTCGGTTATGGAGAATCCGATGTACCGATGTTCCGTTTTGCTGTAGTCTGGCAAAACCTTGCAGCCTCTTGATTTCGCTGGTATTCCTTGTGTCGCCATGGTCACGTCAATGTACGTACCCGTACCTCTCCTAATAAACGTAAGCTCAAGACCTTTGTACAGTACCACTAGGTCTTGAGTCAGTCAGTATCTTGCCACGAGTGTTAGTAATGGGCACTATGTATTCTCTTCCTGTGTTCCCACTTCCTGCATGATCTTGTTCATCTCATCTCGTACTCGCCCACCGTCAAGCTTGGAGAATTATAACAGCAGATCAGCCGCACCTTCTCCATCCTAATTATCACATATCCTTATTTCAGGTTTATTTTATACACTCGCAGCTTCCTATTGTAGATTCGTACAGTAGCCCTCCCGTAGTATCTACAAACCATCCTCTTCTCCTTACCGCTGTTGGATTTGGCTCTGCCGTCACCATCACAATGATGTTCTTTACTACTGCGGCAGCCTGCCTCGACAAGCTCATCTGCTAATCTTGCTCTTCTTACGTTAGTTTGGAGCCTCAGCTCAGTTACCTTCAGCTCTCGAGTCTTGTTTCCTGTGTTTGCCATTTGTAAGCCTTTTTCTTACTTTTTCCACTCGCGTACTCTTCTTGGGACATCTCCTCAAAAATTTCTATTTTCAACTAGTCGGTTAAACTTTAGGAATATTCTTGAATTCGCCACATGCCCCGTTACGTCACAGTTAAGGCATCTGGTTGTTTCTTCCTTTCATTTCAGCGCTATGTAACCCTCTATGATTCATCTTAAGTAGCATCCTCTGCTGTTCTGCCCCTTCCAGTTCCATTGTTTCTGGCCAAAGGCTAGGCATCTCATCCATCTCGATATTTTTACCCTTGATTCTATTACTCAGTAGGATGTGTAGTCTACCTTTATTTGTTTCATTTTTAAGATCTTTTCGGCCACGGCATCTATCACGGCAGTCATCATCCCTTTTACTTCGCCTTGTATCTTAGTCCAAATTTTTATGATGCCACAGGCTCGCACTTTGCCAGCGGCTTCCTCTGCGGCCTTTTGGATCTCCTCCTTCGTAGTATGGGGTGGTATTTCCTCTACCAAGATTCTTCTCTTCACGATGTCTGCTTTTGCAACTGCTCTTGACACGCATCTATTGTCAGAGAGGAGTTTCTTCACTTAATTTTATCCAAGTCTAGCATTTAGGTTTTTAAATCAAACATATTTATTTTCTGGCTAGATCTTTACACTTTTGCTTTACTCTTTCAGATATCACTTTCAAGATTCAATGATCCAAAAATACTAGCAGCATTTTCAACCTGTTCAACTTTACATAAATTGGAGATAGGTGACCTTCTTGAAACTTTAGACAAAGGAGATGGGGATGAAAATATGAAGAAATATAACATGTGTCTATACAAAGCTGTAAATGCTATAGATAGCAATAATAAAGTCAACAAAGAAGTGATTACGCAGTATCTGAAAATATTTTATCCTGATCACTTCCAACAAATCTTAGATAAATGCGTTAAAGATGTCATTAGTAATATTGAAGAAGCGTATCAAATAAGTGCTTGTACGAGCACACTTGTAAAGAATTAAATAATTGATCTGTGTTCCCAACCATTATTATAACATTTTGATTTGTTTAAGTAATTGAATTATAACATTATAATATATACCATTTAAAAAATGTGAATATTACAATAAAATGCTGTTGTTATTTTGTTTTTTTTTAAGAAAACGCTCGTTTTTATCGGAAGGGCAGACATTTAAAAAACAGTGGAATGCTACTTAATGCTAAATAACTATATATCATTAACACTGCGTTAGTGTGCCTAGATAAATTAGCACGAGAGGTGTTCCGGAGTATGTCATACCACAAACTAAACTAACACAGGAAGTTAAAATTTTTAAATTTAATTATAACCCCCTCTGTGGCTCAGTGGTAAGAGCGCGTACCTTTGAACGTAAAGGTCGTGAGTTCGAATCTCACCTGGGTGGAGAAATTTTCGTTTATTAAAAATTAATAAATGAAAATAATTTCTATCCTTGTGCGATCGGTACTCTCCGGAGGGACCGCAGACGTTCGGATACAATTAGCGTCTCTTAGCAAAGACAATGACGTCGACTTTGCTGTCACATTCATGATTTTACGTCACATTCATGATCGTCACGTTCTTTGACGTCACATTCATGATTTTAAAATTATTGTATAACCTACATAATTTGTACAGACAACAACAAATGAGACAAATTGTAGCCACTGCTTGAGACACCCTAATGTAATTATAAACAATACTAATTTTGTTTCTTTGTTATACATTAAGAAACTCGTCAACTGAATAATATGGTCTTTCTGAGAGATAGATTTTTGTCACCTTACGAAACTTAATGAAGGATGTGAGTGGACGGGATCGGCAAATAAACGTTACAATCCGAATTTCTAATGGAGTAGCCATGGTCAGGTCTATCGGGAAAAATGTTTAGATGCTTTCGAATCAAACAAACCGTTTCCAAAATAAATAAAGAGGGAAGCGTCAAAATTCCGTGATTTTTGAAGTAGGTCTTGCAATGAGTTGTTTGTTTGAGACCAAATAGATAACGGATTGCTCTTTTTTGCAACTTAAAAATAGTATCAAATTGGGCCGCTGTACTAGAACCCCAAAATGGAAGCCCATATCGAAGATGGGACTCGAACAATGAGAAATATGCCATTTTGGCAGAAGATAAATTTAGTTCCTTCGAAACAGATCTTATTGCAAAGCAAGCTGAGGCTAGTTTCTTCCTTAAGGAGTCAGTATGCAAGGACCATTTGAGATCACTGTCAATGAGAATACCTAGAAAATTCACGGAATTTACGATATTGATTTGGCTCTCATTCAAAAGCAAAGGTTGCATGACTCCTTTATAATTTTTTTTGGCACATATGAGACAGCCCTTATATCTTCTTTGAAGGCAAATTTTGAACCGCGAATTTCTCTTCCTCGTGTTTTCAAAAGTGCTGTTGGAATTTTCCTTTTGTTCTTCCTAACTGTCACAACCTATGTAAACTGATGGGTCTAAAGTAGATTGATCATGAGCGTATAATTAGTAAACTAGTTTATCGAAAGTAATATTAGTTAGTACCAAGATGCGTTTAGTACCAGAAACTCGATCAATCAAACGTTTAACTATGTTTGCTGATTGTTCTCTGTCGGAAAGTCCTTCTGGCTGTGTGCCGACATAAACTTCCATGTAAACTCCAAGCTGTGGTAAATAATACAAATTTTTATGCAGTTGAGGTATTTTTACGTCCAGAAACATCTGCCAAAGCTCAAATTACAGCTTAGAAAAAATATTTTTGGGTCTGTTGCTCCACACGGAAACAATTCATTTGAGTCTTCTAAACGACTACTGGAAAACTGACTTTTTATTTGACATACCAGTTTTTAGAAAATATATGGCACGAAATAGATTCCTTCTAATATTGAGGTGTTTGCATTTTACGACTCCAGAAACACCTGCAACTGATCGTCTTGGAAAATAAGATCTGTAGTAGATTTTTTCAATACAAAAATGAATGAGATTTATTACTCTGGAAGAGAGCTATTGTTGGATGAAGCTATGGTGCTGTGAAGGGGCCGTCTTAATCGCCATAAGCTGCATTCAATTATACATGCTTACGGAACCAAACGGCCTAATTTTGAAATTTCGAATTTACGAGGGATCTTCAGATATATATATATATATATATATATATATATATATATATACATTATATATATATATATATATATATATATATATATATATTATATATATATATATATATATATATATATATATATATATAGTGAAATTGGATACACGGAAAAAATAGTGCTATATTTACTTGAAGAAAAACTTGGTAAGTGACATGCCGTATATCTAGATAATTTTTATAATAGTGTTGAGTTGGCGTCTAAGTTACTACATAAAAGTACATACTGTACTGGAACTATAAAAATAGATAGAAAATACAATCCAAAAGAGGCTATGACAACACAGTTAACCCCTTCCACTCCAGGCCGTTTTTTGAGATAGGGAGCTGTATACCAGCAAAAGTTTTTTAATGAAAATACATTTTACGATAGTTATGATGTATAATAGAAGAGATATTGACCTATGGGGGCCAAAAAAATGTTTAAAGCAATTTGAATTTATATGACAATTTATAGTGTTTACCAGAATATCCACATAAGGATATTTGGGTGTACCAGTATATCCACTCTTGGATATAGATTGTACTACCAAAATATCCACATCTGGATACCATTAAAATATATCTATGTCTATTATTTAATTTATAAAGGCACGCTAAATAAAAATAAAACATATATAAAAAGACAGTGAACAATTTAATTATATTCAGAACAAAGCAAAAAATAAAAGAACATTATTTTTATTACTTATGAAAACTTTCAAAATGTTCCGCTGAGCAAAGTCCAGGCTTGTCCGGACAAGCAATGCAACATTTTCTCGTTAGTTTACGCACTCCGCGTCTTTTACAAATTACACAAATTTTTCGTAGAGCCCTCTTTTTTCCAATTTCTTTTGGAAAATCGGCCATTGCATGCAACGGTTTCCGTGATGTAGTAGGTTGATTTTTTTTATTCATTTCTTGATATCCTTTACTATATTTTAGAAGTAGCCCCCGGCAGCAGAGTTTTGTATATTTATACATTGAAACTTGTTTTTGATGGGCTTGGCTGTAAAATACTCTGGAGTTCAATAGCATAAGATGTAAAAGGTGCAAACCTATTTTGGTGAACCACGTGTAGGACTTCCGCAAAGGACTGTACGGTTCAACATCTTGGTCTACTGCATCAACTGATCCCATATTTTGATTGTAGAATTGTACATGTTTCGGTTTGTTATAATAGCGAATATTTCCTCCTACAACATATCGTTGTCTTTCGCAAAATCCTGCAGTATGTTTACTGGTAAGCAGATAAACTTCATTGTTGTCCTTGTAGCGAACTAGAAGGAGCATATTCTTGCGAACAAAACATGATTGTTGCCTATCTAATGGAACCAATGTTAATTCTTTTGGAACGCCCCTATTTGGTCGAATAGTGCCTGTAAGGAAAGTCTGTTGTGTCAATAGAAACTCGCAAAGACGAACTGATGTATACCAATTATCTAAAATCACTTCACGATTACTGTTCAGTAGGTTTTGGCAAAGATAAACTACTATTTTCTCGGAAAAAGAAAGGTTTTCTGTTCCTGAAATGTGCGATATGTCATATATATCTTTGCCGATATATATACAAAAATTCCATGTGTATCCTTGAAGTTCAGGCGCACTGGGACATAAGGAAAATATTTTGATGCCAAATCGACTTCTTTTGCTTTTTATGAACTGTCGAAAATGGAGTCGACCTTTATACAACATAAGTTGCTCATCTATTGCGAAAACTGGTCCTGGATCTACTAAGTTTTGACAATTATCTCTAATAAGAGCCATAAAAATGCCTAGTCTGCTAAGCGGTGCATTACTTTTGGCAAGTTCTGGTGGTGAAAATCTAAGGAATTTAAGAATTGCCAAAAATCGATTTTGGATCATAACAGATTTATGAAAACATGGAGGACCAGTGCATATATTATCTGTACTCCAATAGTCTGAAATTTGTGGACACTTGGTCAATCCACTGAGAAAATATAGTGCGATAAATACATACATTTCTTCTGTTGTCACTGGTTTATAAGTCAGACCAAAAACTTTCATGGCAGTATGTGGATTATCATTAAAATATTTATCAGCTCTTTGATCGGTCCATTCGCATAGTTTTTTAACAATATTGCTACTTACAAATGACTCAAAACAGTTTACAGCTTCCATACAATCTTGAAAGTCAATAGCTGGGTGAAAGTTATAGTCAGCACGAAATTCGGGTATATCTCTGGGAAGCTTATCATCAAACGGATCCGTAACGACTGTCCATCCGCTCATTTGTACCCCATCAATGACTTCTTCCTCATCCGTTGATGAATAATTGCTGTCTGAATCGCTCTCGAAGTCACTATTATTTATTTCATAGCTCAAATCACTATCACTTTCGAGATCCGAATCCATTTTTCTACTATAAAACACAATTACGTATCTAAATATAAACAGAACAGGCAATAAAAAGAGCACGTGCTCTCTCAACAATACCTAAAAGTGTACTAAATAAATAATATAAATTTCGCCGCTGCTTGGGTTGCCACCAGACTGAACGTCGACCTTGAGCTGTTTACACTATTCTGGGAATTTTGTAAAAAAATGACTAACCATGATATCGCCGTATGGATATCCATGTCCTACCGTAATTCAAATTAATCTACAGAGCACTACACCACTTTTACAGAGTGCAGTAGTATCCCTGTATGAATATCCGTATGTGGATATCGTGGTAGAGTTCGCCATACCTAAAAATATCCATACGCGGATACGATGGAGCGGAACAGGTTAAAACGGGGAGAGAATATATCTGCATTTTCTGGTAGAGTACATGTTGGAAGATGGCGTGACAAACGTAATGTGCCATACATTAGTACAGAGTTTGGCAGTGAAACGGATCTAAGTCTATAATTGGGTA